GGGGATGCTCCCACTGCCTTTCACAGCCCGGCTCCGCTGCCATCCCCAGGAGGGGCCTGGGGGGAGCCGGGTGCTTTGTGAGTGGGTTTGCACTGGGAGAATCACCAAAATAGCACCCATGGTGCACTCCCAGGGTGGAAAGGCTTTGCTGATGCTTCTCCATCAGCACGATTTCCTCTGCTCTAGCACGCAGGAGGCTCCCAGGGGCTTTAAACTGCTCCCTGGCAGATAGCAAGCAGGTTTCTTCCGTAGGGCAGGCTGCAGTCGCCCTGACCTTGGTGCCCATCACCCCATCTGCCGCAGCTCTGCCCTCCCAAAAGCGAGCTGCTCGACACCTTTCCCACCCGCGGTGCCAGCTGGGGCCGGAGCTCCTGCACCGCTGCCCCGTGGCCTTGGGCGGCTTTTGTTTTGCTTTTAGGCAGCTGCACTCCTTTGCCTTCCCTTCGCGCTCTGCCCACAAACCCGCTGCTTCCCGTGCTCCGAGCCGTGGTGCGGGGCAAGCACCGGGACCTTGGGGCTCGGGGGAGATGCTGCTGCTGCCCCTGACCTGGGGGCTGAGCCAGCCCTGTCCCGACAGCTCCCAGCACACGCTGCTGTGGCAGAAGTCAGCCAGGCGCCGTGTTAACCCTGTGCTGCGATGCTGGTTCAGCAAGAAATGGGTCATCTCCCAGCATGGCATTGCTGCGGCGCAGGGACAGCAAGCGGGAGAGCTGCGTCCCCTCCCCTCCAGCCCCTCGCTGCCACCACGGGTGGGTTTCAGATGCCGCGGGGAAAGATCTCGGTGCCCACAGGGGACGTTGGGCTCTTCTGAAGCTGCAGGAGACCGAGCCCTTTGTGTGGGGGTCTGGGCTCGGGCAAAACTGCCCCTGGGGTGGGCATAGCTGAGAAGCAGGGGGCAAAATGCCTTTGCTCCCAGGCTGGGGGTCCAGGATGGGTTTTGGTCACCTCCCTGCAAAGCGCTGCTGCAGCAGCTGGGATTTATCCTGCACCCCTAGAGCCTTCCCCAGCTGGGAGCTGCGCGGGGTGGGATCCTGCGTGGCCAGAGCCGGCAGCGTGCAGAGGAGTGCCCTGGGTAGGTGCGTGGGTGCCAGCATTGATCCTTGCCACGGTCTGGCCGTGGGGCTTTGATACGAAGCAGGCAGGCAGGAAGGTGAGGCCTTTGGGATGGAAGGTGCTCCCGAAGCAGGAGGATATTAGGATCATTAGTGTGTGCTCAGTACTTGAGTGTTGCAGCCTTTGATATTTCCTCCTCGGCTGCGGTGTGTGATACGGTCTGGGCCAGACGGAGAATACCCTTTCCCTTCCAGAGATGGTGGCGAGGGTTTACTGTTTATTTTCATCCTGCATCAGATTGAAAGCTCAGCCCACGGGCCCCGGCAGGCAGCCGGGGAGCCGGAGCCTTGTGTGCCCCCAGGACTGGGGCAGCGCCCGCAGCCCCACGTCTCCCCCTCCTCCGGATGGACAGCGGGGCAACGCTTGGTGGGCTGACGTGTTCCCCCGTGACAGCAAGGGACATCCACACTGTCGATGTAGACACTGGCACGGGCAGGTCCAGGCACGGTGGCGCCCAGCAAGGCAGGATTGGGCCCCCCCCCCAAGCATCTCCAGCGAAGCAGGGATCTGGGCACCCATTTTAGTCTCCACGGTGATGGATGAAGCTGCGTGAAAGTGTCAGGTCCCGACACGCTCAGGGTGAGGCACAGCCTTGGTGACTGTGATCAGGTCCCACCTACTCCGGGAGGGCTGCGAGTGCTGTCAATGGGGCTGGGGGGGAAGCGGAGCCCCCCCGGGGGCTGCCGTGCCACGTCAACACCAGCCGGTGGCAGGGGCGGGAGGCAGGATGTGGGGGCTGAGTTGTCAGTTAACGTATTATCTTATAGCAGGATAAGTCATTAGCGAGGCAGAGCAATAAAAAACAATTCCCTCGGAGTCGGCTCATTAATGGTCTGCTGGAGGCCAAGGACGGAGCAGCCGCCGCGCTCCCCCCTCGCTGGGCAGCTCGGCTCCCCCCCGCTGCTGCAGCTGCCGGGCCCCCTGGGCACACGTGC